TATTAATATTATTGAGCGGAAAGAAGGTGGGTATGATGTTATCATTGCTGATTTGCTGGAGGTTTATAAGATTTCGATGAAAGAAACCTTCAATAAGTGAAAAACGCTATCCTACTAATTTATTGTCTTTTAGTTTTTATTGATAAGAATCAATATCGACATTAAAATCTCCCATGATGATAATGTGAAAACAATTCTTAAGACTGTTGTCAATTAACTGAAGAATCTCCTTTTGGAGTATATGCCTGTTGTGAGCTGATGTTTTGTCATGATAATTAGTGTAAATGTAGATATTAAAGATACACAGTTTGATATGTTCTTTAATAAAGAGATCAACATAGGTGTATCTTAATGAAGAAGTGAAAAAATGAACTATATATTTGGTCTATTTATGCAATATCAAGAGACCAGCTCTGACGTAAGGTTCATTTGGGTCAGGCTTACTCCAATAAAAAGAATAATCATCATTGTTTTTGTGTTTGTAGAATATTGATCTAGTGTGATGAGTTTCGGTTAAGCTGATAAAATCCAATTTATTGTGACGACAATATTCAAAAATTTGTGAGGATTTAATTGGATCAATTTTTTCAGATAAACTAAGAACGTTGTGTATAGAAAATTTGATGACGTCTCCGTTTATTATTTTGTTAGCATTTTCATCATCGATATGAATAATATCCATATCTAATTGCTTGATCATTGTATTTCTTTGTGTGTGGAATGTTAGAATTTGGTTATTGAGGAAAGAGTCAACATCTATACTATTATCGTATTTATTCAGTTTATCAATATGAATATTCTTTAACTGTGATTCACCTGGTGTGACTGTTATAAGCGTTGGGCAATTGCCCCATCATGATTGGAAAAATTTAAGAATTGAGTGTCGAGTTTGATTAAGTGGGTTTTGATCGAATCTAATTCTTGTAGTTTATTGAATATAGCAGTCAACAGATCAATATTGGTGTTATAAGAAGGTGGATGAGACAAATCTTTATTTTTTTCCTTTTAAGATGGTGTTAACAGAACTATTGGAAGCAGAGTGTGAAGATGAACTGTATTAATCCACATTCATATTACCACCTGATTTGTGAGAGACCGAGTTGTGTCTGTTGATTCTTTTGTTTAAGTTAGAGGATTGACCTGGGGTGTTTTGTTGAAAGGGAGTGTATGATCTACTAAGGATTCTAGGTCACCTATTCAATTTGTGTCCATTGTGTAAAATTCTAGCAGAACAAGCTTGATGCATATCTGATTCATTTGAAAATGCAAAGTAAGCAATATTATTGTAAAAGTAACAAGAATGAGCTTCATGGGATCTCATTGATCTGAATGTTTCTGCAAGTGTAGTTTTATTTGAGAATCCTTTGAAACTAGCAATGAAACTATTTCTAGATTTGAGTTCATCAAGTAAAGTATTAATATGTGCACATCTCAAGACTAGACTATTAATGTTATAGGCCTAGGCTAAGTTTAATTGATGTGGTTTGGTGAGTCATTTAAAGGTGATAATTACGTCCTGAGAAGAATCATAATGATTTCTAAATTTATCTTCCAATGTTTCTATTGGATCATAATATGATAAGGCTCTTTTTATATATTGGTGAGAAATTGTAGTAGGAACCGTTTTTAATCTATATACAGATACATTTAGGTGTGAAGGAAGAGAAGTTTCTTGATTTAAAATGTTAAATGGAATATTGGGATGTGTCACTAAAACGTCATCAATCGCAGAAAGAAGGAGTTTTTTATTATTGAATTCAATAAAAATGTTGGCATTGCCGTTGTAAAATTTCCAATCAAGGTTAACAAAACCAGGTTTATTTGAATAACAAGTGTTGATCAAACTTAATTGATCAAATCTATTATCACCAAGAAAAACATTGGCAAAAATCATTGTGATCATATGGGTAGTATTCTATTAAAATTGAAGTACAGATCATATAATTTACTATGTCTCGTAACCCACTTTTAATAGATCAGTTCTCATATGACTATTATTATTATTAGAAGAAGTGTGAGAAGTGTGATTGATTGTGTAATGTAGATCATTCTTATTTAAGATGTTATGATGCATACTATTGTTGATATTATGCATGGATGCGTCTGTATTGGTGTTTGATAAAATAGGGGTAGTTTGTTATCATCACATGATAAATTATTATTTGACATATTTTTATTTTGTTTACGCGATTGTTTACGTGATTGATGTGTAGATGGATCAGAAATAATCAAATCATTATTTGAAGAGTTGATAGTATTATTTGTTGAGACAGTAAAAAGGTGAAGAAGTCCTTTTTGTGTGATTTGAGAGGAAGAATCCATGTCATCTTCTTCAAGTATATCCATTTCAGGAGAGGTGGTGTCAGCGATGGAAATAATATCATCATTTTCTAAAATATTATTGAGGGTGTTGTTAATAATATCTTTAGTGACATTCGTAGCAAAGTCGTTTGTTTTAGTTATATGTATTGTTAGCATACTGGTACGTGATATTTGTTCAATAAAGTTTTTTGGAAGTTATATTTTTTCTGGAAAAAGTTTATCGTATTCAAAGTTGAGTTTTCTGACAAGCCAAAAGATTTCGGGAGTCTGAAAACCAAGAAATTTTGCTATAGCTACGTCTCTTTTAGCGAAGTGTGAGGTAATGTTAGTGATAAGTTGTAAAAAAGTTTTCGTATCTTTCGCGAAAATGTCGCTATAAAATTCTAAAGTATTAGAGATCATTGTTTTAAAAGTTATAAAAATTGTTTTAATATTATTTGTGTTTAGTTTGTATGAAGAAAAATTATTTTTAAAAGTTTTTTTTGAAAAATGGTCTGAAAATTTCAGGAAAGAGTTCGAGGAATCGAATTGAAGAATCGAATGGTAATTATTTCATACGAATCAGAGCGATATTTACTGAGATCATGCATCTTTTGTTTATTGTTTTTTCTAAATATAAAAAATCATATGATATGATGTCATTTTGACTATTTCACGACTTTAGCCTCTAATAGTTAAAATGATTTCGACTATTTTGACCATTTCAGATATCTGAAATGATCCATTTCGATTTCATGTATAGTCTAAACCATCATAGTTTTGTTGCCATTAGTTTCAGGAAGGATGTAATTATTTTTTGGAGTTTATTGAGTTGGCTATTTTTTGAAAATGATCACTGGTATGTGAAAGAACATTAGAGGGGTCAAGCTCTAAATATAATTGATTTTGTTCATTTTTTATGAGAACTCTGTCTAGTATAATTAATGATTTTCTTCTTTTGAGACAGAAATTGATCATTGCCAATGGATTATTAGTGAAATTATTTACTTGTTGATATATAAAAGAAGTAATATGTTGTTCGTTTTCTATTTTGTCCAGAAGTTTAATTTTTGATCTATATAGAATGATGGCTTCTTTGAGACTAGTTAAAAATGTTGGAAAAGATTTATTATCATATGCTGATTTGATGTCATGCGTAAGAATGTTTTGCTTTATTAAAAGATTAATGATGTTGATATATTTATTATGAGTAGTGATACCTAACGAAATTACTTTTCTTAATATGACGAAATTAACGAAACTGAAATGACAAAACTAGTTTTTTATTAATGACGAAATTATTTTATTTAATTGCTGAAATTATATTTAACTTGATCTAAATTCCTTGAATTAAAATACATTAAAAAATATAATAATTTTATATTTATTTATATAAAAATATTAAAGAGATAAAACTTTTGATGAAATTACAAGTTTTCAAAAAGTGTTTAGTCAGGTATCACTAGATCTGGCTAATTACTTTCGATTTGATAACTTTAATTTTTAGATTTAACCAATTAAAAAATGCTTGTGTTAAAGAGTTATTAACTTATTAAAATGTCTAACCATTAGTTACTATCATTTTAATTAACAAATTGTGATATATAGATATTTTAGCTTTAGTAATATTTCATATAGTATATTTAGGTAATAATAATTGCTTCATGTGTTTATTAAAAAATTTGATTCAGATGATTGACTTCAATTTAATGATAAACGTGTAGAATTTGTATGAAAACTTAAAATAGATATAATATCATCTAAAATATAAAATCTTAAAAAAATAAATAATTTTTTTTTTAAAAAAAGAAATTTTAATTAATACTAGCTATTAAGATATATTTGTTTATTTAAAGGCATTTCTTAATCTTCATTATTATAATTATTTAGAATTTCTTTAACTTCTTTCTTTCTATTTATTATACTTTTAACATTTTCTTTTAAAACTTTAGTATAAGCATTACATATACATTGTTAATCTTTATCTGTTGAATTAGTTTTTTTAAACTTATTATAAATGTAAAAATGTTGTGTTTAGGTCAACCTCCACTGTGTCATATCATATTTAATTTTAAAAAACTAGAAAAAAAAATATTATAATAATAAAATCAATTATTAAATTTTATCTAAATTAGTTTTAAACAGTTTTGGACATCCAAAACTGTCCAATTAAAATAAGTGATATACAGTATTTATTGTGATGTTCCAAAAAATGACCTAGATCAAATATGGTAAATGATTTCGTCAATTAACTACATTCATTCAAGTTAAAAAAAATCCGTTAATCATTATTTATAGATTAACGAATTATTGTAGACGTGACGTAATATCTTTTTTATATATAGTTCAGAGCTTTAATGATTAACCGAAATAGAAATTTTTTTTTGTAATTTGATGCTCCATTCTAACTCCGATTTATTTTGTAGTTTGGGGGGGGGTACAACGGATTGATGGGTCTTTAAGATAGAAAAAAAATATACTAATGAATTCGATACACAATCTAACATGGCGCAGTATACATATATTTTTGATATTCATTAAATTAAGATGTGAAAAAATAAACTTTCTTAAAAGGAAATTGAAATTGAATGGAAAAAATCGTTAAATTAATTTAAAAATCGATTTTATGAAAATTAAAATAAAATAAAATAATAAATTCAAAATCAAAAAAGAGAGATATATACTTTACCTTTTAAATTTTAATATTTCTGATGCTTATCCAAACAATGTTCTTCATAACTTTTTTGTTCCCAAAATTTTTTACTACACTCTCTGCAAAAAACACTTTTATCATGTTTAATCATATAATGAAATTCTAAAGTAGGTTTATCGAAAAAGACTTGGGAACAAAATTTGCATAAAGTTCTATAACCATGTGAATTCTTTGCATGTTTATTAAACGTTTTATTATCTTCATATATTTCCTCACATAATTTACATTTCATTGGTCCAGTGGGTGAGGTGGATGTCGCGAAAGGAGAAATGATTGCCGCAGACGTTGCTGTAGTCTTCTCTTTGGATTCATCTCCCGATTTTTCTTCGTTCTCCTTTTGTGTATTTTTAAACTTGATTTCTTCCTTCACGATGTCATGAATGAAAAATGTTCTCTTTAATTGTGGAGATGAAACATTTAGTTGATTCAAAAATTCGAATTCAACATTAACTCCGAGAGTATCTGTTTTACGATTATAATGCTTATCTTTAATATGACCATTTAAAATCTTTTGTTGCCAAAACATTTTGGAGCAAAATTCACACCGAAATTCCTTAACATGTTCTTTCTCTAAATGATTAGCTTTATCCTCTTTACTATCAAATACTTTGGAACAAACGTCACACAAGTATGAACAACGATGTTTCTGTCTAGCATGTTTATTAAATTCAGATAAATCGGTAGATATTGCTTTACATAATTTACATTGAATATCCTTTGGTATTGCTTCTTTTGGAACGGAAAAATTTGTTCGGTTGTTTAACTCTGGAAAGACTATTTCATGAATAAAACGTGTTGATTCTGGACCGGATAGAGAAGAATCTTTCATGGCGAAGGTTGGAGGCTGAAAGTTTTACAAATTTAGCCCGCCTTTTTATATATTTATTCATCTCAATGATTGTCGTTGAAATTTCCTATAAGCATTCAATAAACAGATTCACATGTCGTTTCACAAGGAATGCGGCGCATCAGATAATCAAGGGAACCGGTAAAAAATTATTAATCAATCAATTTTTTATTCAAGCAACAAGCAACAACCTAAAAGTTATGAAAGAAATTTCCTAGCTAATGAAATTAATCGAAATCTACCAAATTCTAGTTAACCTTTTTGTAATTCAATGACTCATCAATGATGAACATTTCTAATATGAATTTCCAAATCTCTGATGTTTATAAAATAAAGTTGACATTCTTCACATCTGGGATAATTAATTAGTAGTCTTAATTCTATTGGTTTCATAGTCATCGGTCCTTGGTCGATTAACATCCACTTGCATCTTACTATGCCCTTCATCACCATTCGTAGTCTCAATTGCATCAAGGACATGATCATGTTCATCGACAAATGAGTCGCTCTCCTCATCATATTCCTCATAATTCTCAAACACTTCTCCTTGAATTTGACTACATCCTTCATATTCATTTGCGTACTCCACTTCCATACTTACTTCTACCGGTTGTGCATCCTTTTCTACATGTGCTTCAAAAATGTGATCATGTAATTCTTTCTCAAGAAAATATGAGCTATTACAATAATTACAATAAAATTCTTTAATTGAATGATCATTATTCCTATGTACTAGTAGTGATAGTTCATTATAATGAACTAGAGAACATATCTCACATATATGAATCAAATCATGTTCTTGTTTAACATGTTCATTAAATTCAAGACGACTTCCAAATATTTGTTTGCATGACTTACATTTAAAGTTGTAAGTCGCAAGTAAATATTCAGCGAAATCGTTTTCCATCTCCGCATTTTTGATAAAATCATGAAGGAATTCGGGGGATTCCTTTGTCTTTGATCTAGAACCTTCTTCTTGCGCGAAATTTGAATCTTGTGGGGCCGTGGATTGGATCATTTCTAATTGTGAAAGTTGCGGTTGTACCGAGGAGTTTGTATTCTTTTGATGTGCTTTGCTTGAACAATGGTCTGATAAACTTTTTGCAGTAAGGAAAAATCTATTGCATTCTTTACATGAAAATCTGTGAACTTGATTTACATGAGACTTCTTAACCCATTTTAAATAAAATGCTTGAGAACAATAACGACATGAGAAATTAACACCATGTAATCTAATGTGCTTATTAAATTTCAAATGAGTATCAAATATTTCTGAACAAATCTTGCATTTGATTGATATTGGTTGGGCTGATATTAATTCGTGAATGGTCAACATTCCCTTTGATTTTCCCGATGATAATTTTTTACGAGAATGATTTGCACGAACATGATCATTTAATTCAGTATTATCAAAACATTCCTTTGGACATACAGTACAGGGAAAACATTTTCTATGATTTTTTGACATGTGTGATCCCAAAGCATTTCGAGTTGGCAATACTTGACAACAAACCAGACACAACCATTCATATTTATGCGCTTTTTTTGCATGTAATCTAAATGATGCGTAACTAAAAGTGGTTTTTATACATAAATTACATTTCAGGAAATATGATCCATTATGATCTTCACAGACTTTGTGCAAGAAAGTTACGTCATCTTCATGAACCATTTCCTGTGGTATAATTGAAGAAGGTTGAATTGTTGGAGGGTAGGTTGTTGGAGGCATAAATGTCGTTGAAGCATTGACCGTTGAAGGTAGAAAATTTTCACCAATATGTTCTCGAGAATGTTCGTTTAATTCAGCTTTGTCATAAAATTTCTTTGGACATACAATACAAGAAAAATCTTTTGTATGAGTTGATTTCATGTGTTTTTCACAAGCTCCTTCAGATGCAAATAATTGACAGCAAATTGTACATAAATATTCAAAATAATGAATATATCTAGCGTGATACTTAAATAGTATTAGACTTTTAAAGGTGTAATCGCATAATTTACACTTCAAGATTGTCGTTCAGATTCTTCTTGAGTCGTTTCATGCACGAAAACTGCGTTGTCAACTTCATGTTCAAATTCCTGCGATTCAACTTCCATCGTTTCTCCTTGTGGTCTATTATCATCATCCAGAAATTCCTCATCCTCCTCCTTACCATCATTATCCTCAACATCCTCATCCTTTTCATCCTTAAGTACTTGAGAACTTGGATGAACTTCTCGAACGTGTCTATCCAAACTTTCTTTTATAAAGGCTTTACCGCAGAATTGACAGAAACTCTTATGAAATATATTAATATGATTTCCAAGTAACCTTTTTTTCTGAAATACTTCAGAACATTTAAAACATATAAAATTTGCATCGTGCTTTGCTTTTGCATGTTTGTTAAACTCCTTGTTAGAAGAAAAGATTTCGTTGCATAATTTACATTTCATTGTGGTGTTATCGACGAATTGGGATTCGTGAAGAAACACTGGAGGATAATCAATCCTTCTGCGATTATTGTTTACTGACGGAACATTTGAAACGACCATAGGTTGATTATTTAAATGGTCAACGGAATTAAATTTAGAAGCAGGAGGAGGTACCATTCCAGGATGTACACATTTGAAGTGTTCTTTTAATCCATTATAACCCCAACAAACATTTTGACAAATGTCACAAGGAAATTGTTTATGAGCTCCTTTTGTATGAGAAGTTTGTTGGTATACATTACTACAAACTTTGCTGCAAAATCTGCACAAGTATTTATAACCATGCTCTTTTTTAGCATGATGATTAAACGAAGTCAAAATATTGAAGATATTATTACATAATTTACATTCAACTTTTCTCCCTTTTGGCGTTTCTATCTTTCTGTGTAAATAAATTTCCAAAGAATCATCATCATTTGGTTCATTAATATTGATAGGTCGCGTTAGGATTGTGTTTGAAGGTCCACGTCCATATATATTAGAAAACATTTTTGAAGAAATATTATTTTGACTGATCAGTGGATAAATTTTCACACGCTAATAATATGAGGACGAGTGTGTGAAACGTCACGTATAAACGTATAAAATTGATTTTAATTGGATTAAAAATGAAATTAATAAGCATAATTATTATATTAATTAATTATAGTTAAAACCCAATATATTTTTAATAATGAAGCTAATAAATTTTAGTAAAAGTATCTCCTCCAATGCACCGGACCGGTGGTTGCAATTCCGGTTGTAGCATTTCGTTCAAACGTGAAAAAAAAAAATTACCAACCGAGTGTGAAAAATGTACAACTAGATAAATTTCAAACAGGGTGAATTTTGGGTTAGGACAAGTTAACATTTCGATTTAACTAACGTAAATACTGAATCTTTGTTTTTTTTTAATTTTGCGCGTATACAGTTCAGTATGTCATTTACTTATTTTCTGTCTGTATTATAAGGGCCCAAGTCAATATAATTTTTCACGTTTAGAATTGAATGCTATGGTATGTACAGTGCAATAGGTTTAATTTTTGATTTATTTTTAATTTAGAGACGAAATGGTTATTATATTCAAACCTTATATCACAAATAAAATTTCTAGTAAGAATAACCCTTCCTTGTCTTTAATATAAAGATTAAATTGATCCCTAAAAATAAAAATAAAAAATATGATCTATTCCGATTATATTATTTAAGAAATAGTCAAATGGTTATACCTCGACCTTAAATTATTAAATTAAAAAAGATATTCATCCGATATATTTAAATTAAAGTTAAATTTATGAAAGAAAAAAATGAAAATCTTATAGCATTGAAAATTACCTTTCTTGAACCTACTGTATTACAATTCGAAAAGCTTGAGGACCATATTCGGTTACTTCCCGCGGATGTTTTTGTTGTTGGTGTGCGTCAAGAGAATTCAATCTCCTAAATTTCCTAAGACAGATCGTACATTCGAATAGTTCTCTATGTTGTTTGATATGTTTCATATATACTCCCCCATTATAAAACACGTCCTTACATATGTCACACACAAAGATCCTAACTCCATGATCATCTTTAACGTGCTTATTATAATTTTCATAATTGATAAACATCGTTTGGCATAGCTTACAAAAGACACGAGAAAAATGATGAATCTCGTAAGTAATATCTAAAGGTGACGACGGGTCAACTCCTGTGACAGGTTGAGAAGGGTTGGAATCTAAACCAAAATTCAAGTTAACCTCAGGAAGGTAAGGACAATGCTCAACAGATCGACGCCTCACTCTTTTTAGAGGGTTCAATATCATCATCAAGTAATTTATATTGTAATTGCCAGAAACAAGGAAATCCTGACATTTCTTTAACCGGCTCAACATTAATCATTGAATCATTTGATAGTTTTGGGTTTTATATGTATCATCAAATCCGTACCTTCTATCACAACTTGTTTGGGAACAAAAACCTGTTCTTTCGGTTCATCTTTAATATCTTTAATAGGATAAGTACTCCGCTTTTCCGGTGCGTCTTTTATAGGAGAAGTAACCCATTCTTCCGATTCATCTTTGATTAGAAAAGGAGATATTTTGATATGAGGAAGGAAATAGATTTTTTGTTCGGGTTCACATTTGAAGTAAGGTAAAAGCGAGCCTTTTTTTTTTTTGGTCCTTTTAGGTTTGGTAAATTGAGCGATAGACATTGGTTCACAATCAAAAATATAAGGAACAGGAGATTTCGTGTGTTTAGGCATATTTTTTTCGTGTCGTGAAAGTGTTGAAAGTTTGGAAGAGATGATTTGCTGCTTGTAATCGACCACAATGTCTCATTTAAGCCAAATTTTTCGATTGACGCGATTCATTTCTATATTTAGTTAAGCCACGGCCTTTATCAACATTTATAATCCAATTTTTAATAAAGACGATTTTTTTTTTCTGTTTAAAAACGAATGTTTAGCAATATGGCTTGTATAAATTATATGAAAAATCGCTTTTATTTAGTAAATAATGATTTTGATGTTTTTTATGCCCAGCCACATCAGTTTTTTTTTTTTAGAAAACTATTGGTAGTTAGTTACTCATTAAAAAAAATGATTGTCTGGCCTAACTTTCAATTTATAAAAAGATAATTTATACACCCAAGAATGCGTACGTTAATATTGTATGCGTAATAAAGGTCCATTAAGATCCATTATTTTGGCATTTGCTCAAAATTTTACGGAAAGGCATTATCATTATTATTATCCATATAAGGACGCGTTCTAACAATTCTATAAGTTCTAACCTTTGTAAGTAAAAGGTTTTAACTATTTTTGGACTTCGCAATAATCACGATTCTTCATCTGTCATGTGATTTAATGAACGTATCTTTTAAAAAATCAGTGTATTCTTTGTATAATTTTAATTAATACCGATTCTCAAGATCAGACCCTAAGGTCTGTTCAAATAAAAATTTACACGAACTTTAGAAGAGGTCTAAAAAATTATGTTACATTGAGAATTGCCCCCCCCCCCAAAAATGCATAATATTAATTAATACATAATAAATAGTACAGTTTTATCATTTTTGATATTATTAGATGCTGTATCAATATGTAAAACATGATAACATTGGTACAATTATTCCTTTGGTCGTAATGGATGATTTATCGTTATTCATAACAAAATTATGTATATTTCTCAAAATTGATCAGATATTTAATTTATTAATCAAACAAAAAAGCATTTTTAATAATATACAAATTTAAAAGCGCGCGTTAATAAATATTTAATAAATATATGTTTGTGACATACATTAAAATTCTATCAATAATTATTTTCTTTGTTTTTTTGATTTACGTTAATTTATAAACCAAACCATTTAAATCGACCCATGTAAACCATCGTTTCCACATTTCATTGGTGCAAAGGGTTTTTCGATCCCCAAAAATGATAAGTCCTCTCTTTGCTCGCGTAAGCATGACATTAAAACGACGAGGATCCTCCAAAAATCCGATGCTTCCTTTCTCGTTACATCTGACACAAGTGATCAATATTAGTTCTTTCTCTTTTCCCTGAAACCCATCTGCAGTTTTGACTTCAATATCATTATTGCCTAGTTTTCCTGTTATCTTCTCTAACTGAGCGTTATACAAACTAATGATGCCAATCTCTTTGGCTTGTACGCCTCCATTTTCTACAATCCTCTTCACTGTGTTAATGATATTTTCAACTTCCATTTCATTATATCTGGATCCACCTCTGCCTGGCGAGTCGATACCAGAAACTTGAACAAATGACACGGGAACTTTTGGATTCGGCCAATTAAATCCTTCAACCAAGGGCCTATCTACGAAATTTATCCCATCGTTCAACCTTCCTTGGTAAAACTCGTCATTCGGAAATTTAGAGATTCCTGGATGCATCCTATATTGTGTATCCAGCAAGTTGAATGGATACGAACTGGTATGCATTCGTTCAAATAACGAGACAGAATAACCTGCTTCCTTTGCTTTTGGGTGACAAAATGGTGGTAATTGTTTGTGATCACCCACCAATAGGAAGCGTTCGCATTTTTTTGATAACGGAATAAGACAATTGGGTTCAGAAACCTGAGAGGCTTCATCCACAATCACAAATTCAAATTCGATTTTCTCCAAAAGAGACGTACCGCTCCCAACGCAAGTGGCACAAATAATTTTTGCACTCTTAAGAAGTTCCTGTCCTTTTTTAGAATTGATTCTCTTGAATGAACCATCTAATCCAGCTTCAAGAGTAATCGGAAATAGCTCTGGTGTTTTTGTTTCTCCGATACGAATAGTTTTGATACCTTCAAGCTTTATCAAAAGCAGCGCTATATTATCCACTGCAGCATTTGTGGCTGCTGTCACAAGTATTGGTAGTTTCGGGTTAAGGTCAAGTAGGTTTAAAATTAGTTGATAGATGCTCTTTGTCTTTCCGGTGCCCGCAGGACCCTGCCAAAGTGTAAGAATTCCGTTTTTTCCTTTCTCAATTGCTTTCTGTTGACTGCGATTAAGTGCTTGGTTAGAAGTTGTCGTTGACGAACCTTCATCCGTTGTGTCCGTCGCATTTGTCACAATAGTAATGTCGAATTTATTCGGTTCTATTATTCGATCAAGTAGCGGAGAAATTTCATCCATTTGGGTTGGGTACAACCTTTCAATCGCTTCCATTGATTGTCTGAAACCAATTATATTTCCCACTTTCTTTACTTTCCATGTTGCTATTAATATATCTCTAGGAACCCATGACACTTCTATAGATGCTTCCGGTTCCATGGTTATAACGACCGCTCGTATGACAGAAATTGGCTCGATTGACTTTTTATTAAGTCTCTTTAATATAATGAGATCACCAGGTCGTAACCTGATCTGAGATGGTCCTGTAGACATGAGATTAACTCTGTTTTTTGCTTTTGCTTTATTTTGACGCGCTTGATAGCGGTTTCGAGGAGTTTTTTGATTTTCTGAATAACTTTCCTCCAAGGTTTGAATACATAATATCTTGACCAAGTGCATAAAATGTGTAACTGCTGTCTCAGGAATATTTACCGGCGGTTCCAGTTTTTGTTTAATGATATCAAATAAATCCTCTAAATAATTTTTTCCTTCCCTTTCGCCTTCTTGATATTCCTCAAGTAAGACTCTGGGACACGGATAATAAAGAACGAGATGGTTAATAATCTCGAATAATTGAATCATGCTAATCGAAACGGAACACTTTAGCAGATTGTTTACGCTTTCTAACACCACCGTATCTTCTTTACATTTACTTGCTTTAAAGCAAGTTCCGATCAAGCTAACCAAGGTCATACTTGGAACTTCTAAAGAATGGGTCTGTATCATTTTAATCAATGAGCCATAGACAATTGGAATTTTTGACGAAAATTCGACTAGATTTTGTAAGTCTGACCTGGAATTATTATTACCTAAATATAATTCATATGCTTTAATCACTCTGTCGTATTTAGCATATTTAATCCAACATTCCATTCTCTCCATAAGCTCATTCACATTATTGGCGGAAAGAGGAAGGGATAACAATCTTTTATCATTCTCATCATTGACGTTTGTTGAATCTGGCGGGTTATAATCTTCATCAACATCCGGTATTTCCATATTTACCCTGTATTCGGGATTTACCACTTGGTATCTTGTATGTATACCGTCACGGTTACTAACCACATAAATTTCAGACATACACAATTTCTTTTTTTGGATCTTACTTGTCTTTTTCGCAGTTGTGTGACACAATTTATCAATGGCAACGCTTAAGGAAGACTTAACGTCCAAATCGTTTAGCGAAATTATATCCGTTTGTAGATGTTTGGGGCTTCCAAGCCAAACAAAAGTGTTACGCTTGTGTGAATGATAAATTTGTAGGTAATTTTCGTTGAACGAAAGCTTGTAGCCGCCCGTACATGATTTTTTTTTAATGATTGTCCCACTTCTATTGAACCCATAAATATCTATCTTACCGTCCGCATCATTTTCTTCTTCGATTTCGAATTCACCATATAATGATATACAAACACTAAGTTCATGATCAAATTTGAGAGCAATGAACACTCTACGAAAACTTGCGATGGCTCGTGAAATATCTGGTGTAATGCTTGTCGAGTACTGAATTTCGCTGTCTTGATGAAATAATTTCCAATGATTTTTACCTTCTCCAAGGCTAAAATAATTGATCATTTTTTTACAATCCATGATATTTGACGAATGTATTGCATTAAGCATTTGATCAATGGGAACTCTTCCCGTCGCGATAGCGGCTCTTTTTTCGTCAACGGTAAATGTGGTAAAATCTAAATAATATAGAAACTCTTTGATGTCTTCATCGTTGACATGACACCATCGAATAAGGAAGCACAGCAACTCGTAATCTGTTGCTTCGTAACAACCCTCTTCTAGAAACGTACACAACTCTTCTCGACCCATCTTCAGCTTAATAGAAAGGTCTTTGTTCTTTTTTAATGTTTTGCTCTCTTCCCTTTTTTTTTCCGCGACATTAGTAAGTTTATTCCAAATTCTATTTTGTACAATTTGATCATCAACTTCGGGAGGTTGCGTCAGAAAACTAGGGATTTTTACAGATTGACCATCCACAGCACTTGAAAACAACTTGTTGATCTGTAGACATTCAAGACATTTAGGACCTTTTGCGTCAGCCCATTTCGTAAATAGAGAGGCACACCGGGAAACTCCAGCATTGCTAAACATGGCGAAGTGCTTGATGAGATCAGCACGTTTTATATTATGATTGACGACATCCTTTCCTCCAGGATATCCGTACGATTCTGCCGTCTCTCGTGGCATTAGTTCCGAATCCCAGCATACAAAAAACTTGTCCCCATCCAAATCACCACCGGCCGTTTTATGTGCTGCGGGTACATCTCCGTTCACGGAAAACAATAACACATCGACAATATCTTCACATTCAGGAAGATGGACCCCCTTAAGGACGACGATATCCCCGGGGTGGTAACAGGGGTTGCGTACATAAAAAATAGGGCCGATGATAGTGGTAGGTTTATTGTTAATAATTGGTCTAAAAAAGCATTGGTATTCTTTTAACTTCCTGGTGGGGGTGGGATCCGAAGCACCAAATGCCAACCGCGAATCCTTCACTATTATACGCAACTTTTCCGATTCAACGGTTTCGCTGCGAACTTTTTTTATTTTTATTGATGAATTCAACTCTTTATTGTATGATTGATTAAGGTAGTTTATAATTTTTTCCGTGAATCCATTCTCAAATAGTTCGTCTGCAAGGGCCACTTCACCGTTTGTCAAGAGAAATTCGAAAGCTATAGATATATTCGTAAACATTAAATTCAAACGTTCAAAGTGCTGTTCCTGTTTATGCAGTAATGCTTCATCAGGTACACCAAGCGAGGATAGAAGTATGATTATCTGTGTGTTTAAACGCCCGAAAGCGTAGGGCTTTGAATGTTCAACGACATAAAAGGTATTATCTGCCCGGTACTCGAACTTTTTCATTGATTTTCGAAAACGACAAGTCTTTCCTTTTAATTCTGTTCCTAACAACAAAATTCCTTTGAATCCTCGATAACGAATTTGAATTACGCATGGATCGTAACGTTTATTACGATATTTTATTTTCAATTTGTTTGAAATTTCTCGAATGATTTCTTTCGAAACAAGGCCACACCCATCCGTAAAGCAAAAATCATCTTTCGTGACATCATCTATGAGAACGTTATTATCATTAATGTCGAATGGTAAATCGAGAACTTTTTCCCCAGTTGAAAACAATAAACCTATCCTTTTTGCCAATTTTGCTGTATTATTAAATTTGGTCCAATCTCCGAATTTATCAAGAAATCGTTTAATCTCTCGTTCATCCGCTTCCATTAAAATGCATTTTCGATCTTTTAACAACGAATTCGACTGCCCAAGATAATTATATTTTTTATTATTAATAACAATCCCCTCAGTAAGGATTCTTATGATATATTTTGAAGATGATTGACCTTCAAAAAATAGACCCGAGAAATCTGATGTTAAAATCTTTTCCGGTTCCACCGCAGCAAGAATTCTGCTGTTTGGCATGATTTGATAAGATAATTTAATTTCATTTGAATTTATTTTTAATGCTTTCACGTAAACTTTATTACTTTGCGAGGAAGGTGGGTCCTTATCTGTTTCGAAATTAATTGACGGAAGATCCGCGTGATTTGGGAAAGTATCATTACTCATTGTGCTCGTTGTAACTCGTTGTATTTACAGTGTGAAAAAAAAAAAAAAATGAAAATGAATTATAAAACAATTTCTTTAGAAGATAACATCCAGAGATTATATAGTGGTTGAATATGACCATTTTAAGAAACAATAACATTTTAAGGTAACCTGAGACGATTTCAGGGTGCAAAACCGTAAAAGGCTAAATATATCTCCCTTTAAATTACAAAATGGTTTACAAAATTGGAAAATTTGCGTTCGACAAAACGGGAATACATAAGATGGAGTACTGGACTGCGTAAATTTAATGAACCGGATTAAAAATAACAATGATATAAAATGTTGATCTGCTTTTCTTTTACTAATCCATTTTTGAATTTCGAAAAACAAAGGACTTGATCTAGCCGTTTCGGGCCTATTCCGAATAGGGTGTCTGGGTTGGCGTGATGGTCCAAAATTCGCGTGATTTTATCGCAAAATCGCGATAATGTATGTGGTCGACTAAATCACCTAATTTAAATTTGACAAAATCATAAAAAAAAGATGTGATAAATCGTGACCAACACATCCTGGACAACCTAATTCCGAAGCAAACATCACCGAATTCTCACGTGAGAATTGAGATAAAGGTTGGATATTAGCCAAATCTGGATTGATTGATTATACGTCTAACTTTTTTGATAGTTTCAACTAAAGGAATTCCCCCCCCCCCCCCCAGGAAAGATAATCCTCATGGATTCCCCAATCCTTAAAATCTTTAATTCACGTTTCGACTATCAATGTTATATGACCTTCTTTAAAAGTTCAAATTTGTTGCAAAATAGAAATTAGCTTAATTTTGTCCGAAATTAAATCTAAAATGTCTGCGGTATGATATTTCCTCGAGAGAAATTATTGAAGTGATCTTATAACGATGTTTCCAATGCGTTATTAAATCAATAAATAAAATGTGGATTGTCTAATTTCTTTATTTATACGTGATTTTGTCTTTATTTTTTCTATACATCCAAAATATGATTCGATTTGTTTATAGAGTAAATCGGGTTTCTTACTTCAAAGCGTTCCTTTTGATCGACGAAAGATTCGGAACACGCGTTGTAATTATATTGAACTGTTTTCTATTATGACGTTTTTCTTTTGGATAAAATGATATATTTTCCAATATCTACTTCAAGTACTCTATTGCTCGGTGTTATTAAATTTGTAATAATATAAATCTCAACCAACAAGCTAGCATAGAGATTCTGTCATTGACATATACTTGAACACGAACGAATTTTACGTGTCGTTAATATGGTAATCCTTCAAATAAATCTTGCGAGCAAATAAGAAAGTCTGTGATAAACAATTTAATGAAGACTATTCTTTTATTATTGAGGAAATTTTGTCAAAAAGCCAAAAGAATGTTGTATAAACGGAATTGTTGAAAGTGATTTGATACTTTAACTTATCAACTTACAGTATTATCCTTTATTTTTTTATTTTTTGAAATGTAAGCCTTTGACCAAAGATGACGGGTTATACAAGGGAAGGGAAGTTAATCTCACATAAAAGAAATTGAAGCTATCCAATGAAAAACAAATAAAAAAGAATTTGTTTATGATAAAATAATACAAAAACTATAATAACCATGTCAGGTTCATGTTAGGTTTTTAATCGATTCGAACACATCGGAAAGAATCCTCTCGAACCACACATTGATTTTTTTTTTATTAAATAAAATCTTATTTTGACAACAAACGTAATAATGATAATGTAATAGTACATCACTTCTAAATTATTTGACTAAAGGAGATACCGCAATATTTTACGAGATCTGTAAAAAAAATATATATATAAATAAATAAATAAACAAATAAATTAAAACAAATAAACTAATACTAAACATTGGGAAATTATTTCAAAATTCAATGTGAATCAATTAACTATTTTTAAGACTTACAACACAACTTTCTATTTCTTCCGAGTCAATAAACGCTGCGGATCTTAAAGATGCCATTTATACCCTGGCTAAAATATACCATTTATTGATATTTATACTAGAAATCAACAGAACTGTGTGAAATCTGTTTATGAGAAACTCATCTATTTCTCTTTGGTAGGAATTAAGCCAAAAAAGAAAAACTCGTTAGCCAATATTGACGTAATAATGAAATTTCTTGAGTTCTGTAAAGAAAATTGCCCAATTACATTTATTATAAAGGTAACAGTAAACATTAACAATTCCCATTGCTGGATCATATGAATAAGGTAATAAAAAGATTCGAAAAACATCATGCCATATTAGCTAGGGGGTGGATTTTTATATTTAAAAAAAAAACCGAAAATTCCATCTGAAATTCCTGTGTAAAATAATATATTTATTGTTTTATCACGGACACAGATTTACTGTGAAGAAGAACGCCTTTTAAAGAGAACATTGTTACATTTGAATATATTTTTGAAATAAATACGCCCAAATACAATAACGTTTTTGAGGTTTGAAACCTGTGATTATATTTATTGGGAATAATTAATTCAACCATTTGTAGATTTCCCGCTTGACCTAAAAGTCAATTAATTTCTTTGTTAAAGAGGGATAAAATTTCTGGTTTCCTTTTCTAAATTAATACTGTGAAAAAAGTTTCAGCCAATTTTATTTTACTAATAAATAATCTTACTTGAAAAAAAAACCTAACCTTTTTAAATAAAAACTTGTCAGGAAAGGAAAATAGTCTTATGATATGATCGTGTAAAAAAGAAAATAGGGTTTAACCAGAAATATACGTGAAGTATTTTAACGTTTTAAACCTGTATTTTCCATATCTTCATTACTCTATATAGTTATATTTAAATGAAAAAAAAAACTCAATAAATATTTCTACAATCGACATCGTTTTTTTCCTCTTTTTTTTTTGAAGCAATTATTTTTGAACTGTTAATTGTACGACCCCTAATCCTATATGTGGGTATTCAATCCATTTAATTTTTTTTTTTTTTTTTGAAACTTGGTATAGCAAGACGAATGTTATAATAATAAATCTCGTATGATATATTACATATTTCTTTGTTTATATTTCTTTTTTAGATATCAAAAATGACTAAAGATAATTCATATCAAACTGCTCATGAGAAAGTTCAATCTCCAACACACGTTCCAACTTCGTTCAAATGGTCTCAAGGAGGTGACCATGTATCAATAGCTGGTTCATTTGATCCTCCAATACAATCATGGACTCCAATTGAAATGCCAAAAAATTCAAATAATGTTCATGAAGTTACTTTGAATTTATTACCCAATAAAAAATATTTTTTTAAATTTGTGGTGGATGATAAGTGGGTTTTGGATCCTACTTTAGAATCTTGCTTGGATGAAATTGGTAATTATAATCACGAGATTTGCGTGGAACCTTTAAAACCTTGCTTGGATGAAGGTTGTCATTTAAATAGTGAGGTTCGTGTGGAACCTTTAAAATCATCCGCCTCTGAAACTTTTATCGGAAAAGATAGAGGCTTAAAAGATACAGTGGTTGAAGAGGAACATGTTGCAGTCGAAGAACATGAAGAAAATAATTCCAAGAGTAAATGTAATATATTATAAAATCATTTTTATCGATTTGTATAATGATGATAATGATGGGAACATAAGAATTTGCTTTTATTAACAAATCGGGAATCTAAGACATTTTATTTATATTTTATCAAATATTTTTTTTTGTAATCACACATTTTTGAAACGTAAGAGGTGACAAATATGTATAAAAAATTCTCGTCACTGTTTAAAGCTTAACATAAAAAAATAAAAATTTTTCCGAGAAAACGTAATCTACGCATGATTAATTGGCGCAATAAATTTAGAAATAAATCGTAGAATGTAATTCTATGAAAATGAAATATACCGGTTTGGGTGAGAGTAATGTTTATTATCGTCGGCTATAGGTTCGAAATTCTATCATCTCGAAAAAAAAAGTTCTTTTGCAGAACTTAATCCTTTACATGGTCTATATAAGCGGAGTGATATAGATAAACGAAAGAATTTCCAAATGAAAAAACCTTAGCAATATTATAATATTATCGATAGAAATAAATTAGCAACGAAATAATGTGCCCAGGAACTCATCTAGGTTCTAATTACCTTTCCTTGAAAGCATGTCATATTCACTTTCGTTACTCTACTACGTATCGTAAAATTATCACCTTTTAAGTTAAATTTTAATTTAATATAATATTTATTTGCAAATTATGAAAGGTAAAATAAATAATATATCTATACAAATTTATAAAATCATCATGTTTATTACAAATAATTTTTGATCAATAATATTAATAAAAATATAATCTTCTATATAGAAATTAAATTTTTTAATTTAATTTCAAAAGATTTAAAAAGAAAATATTGAAATAAAAAAAAATTAAAGATTTAATTAATTTATTTTAATATAATTTGTAAGTAGAAAATCAAGCTTTGAAAATTTTTTATCAAAATTAAGATTTTATTAAATTAAACTAAAATATAATAAAATATTACTTTTAATCAAAGATTTCTATTTTCTTAAATCGCAATCCTATTTTTTAGCTAAAAAAATTTAAAGGTATTTTTAATTATTTTTAAAATAATTATTATAATTTATTATAAAATATATTTTAAATTTTTAAATAATAAGATAATTAAAAATTTAATATTAAATAATTTATAATTTATTTATATAAAAACTAATAATTTATAAAATTAAATATTAAAATTTTAATTTAAAATAATTACCTTTATTTTAAACTAATATTATACAAAATCATTTGGATAATCTAAATAATATAAGAACATTGCTAATAAAATCAAATTATGAATAAGGTTGCTTATCTAAACTTATTTTAGATTTGGTTAAGTGTTAAACTATTAATTTTGCTAAATTTTTACTAAGGTTTTAATATAGTTTTACTGTTTTAGTAATTTTTTTTTTTTTTTTAAATTTTGTAAATTTTTAATAAGTTTTACCTTTATCATTTAGACATTTAGCTAACCCTAGGTTTCATCCAATAATCTTAGTCATAAAATTTATAATAAATCATATAATCTATAATATGACTTTACTGATAATATTTCTATATAAATCATCAAATAATATAATATTATTTACTTCATTTACTTTATCTACTTACAGTTGAATTTCACTATAACGAATTTTTATATTCTGAATTTTTTATTATTGTGAATTTTATGAGTGGTCTCGAATTTTGTTAAATAAAATAATTGAATATAATGAATTTTTATAATCAAACTTACTATTATGTATAACAAATTGAAAATCCTGTACCAAGTATAATAAATGAAACTTTTATTAACAAAGTTTTTTTATATAATGAATTTTTATATTAAATTTAAGGGATATAGCAAATTTTTTTCTTGTATAACTATTAAAGGAGAATATAATAAAATATATAAATTATTTAATAAATTTTTATAGGAATTAATTAGTATTGAACCTTAGATTAATTAGTGTTAAACCTAGGATTAATCAGTGTTAAAATTTTAATTGCGAAACTGTAAATTTAAAATTATAAAAAATTTTAATTATGAAAAAGTGTATGCAATTATAATGTTTGTTATTATTTGTTATTATTACTTATTTGAGATATTTTAAATAAATAAGAATGTGTTTATCAAAACAAATGAAAAAATTATATAATAAAGCAAAGTTCGTAGGAGTAGTAATCAGAGGCATAGTGATAAAATTCAAGTATTTTTTTGCGCAATTTTTATGAAATTCAAAGATACTTTTATCTCTAATAAATTTAATTTAATTTTTATTTATTTGTTATATTTAAATATTCATTAGAAAGAGAATAAAATTTTGGATAATATGGTTTATTATTATTTTAATTGATTTATTTATTTTTTTTTAAGATGTGTTGAAGCAATTATTTATTAAAAATTCAAAATCAAATTACAAAGTAAAAAGAAAATCCTAAAAAGTGTACAAAAGTAAAAAAAAATAAAGTAAAAACTGCTTAGCCTTTTTTGAAAAAGTAAATCAACTTCAACTAAACCAACCAGTTGTCTCGTCATATTTAACTTCAACTACTTAGAAAAGAAATATCAGTACAGTAAACTCTTAATATAACGAATTTTAGGTCGCTTTGGTTTTGTATTTCTACAACCTCTAGGTAATGTTATGATGATGATCAGAGTTATGATGTAATCATAGCATCATAATATTGATTTTGAGAGTCTATGGGTAGCTATGTTTTCTCACATATAATCGTACTAATTTCTCATTTCCTTTAGGTTCACAGAACCTGAAATTAGTATTCTGTCTCATTAGTTTTCATTCAACTTTCTTTGCTCCATTTTTGGTATTGAGCCCTGCTCAAGATCTTCTCATGATCCTTATTAAAAATAATTGCCTTTACAATTTCTTGAATAACTCTGCTTCTACTGATCCAATTTCTATCAAATTCAGCTTGTTTTGAAGCCCTCGACGAGCTGAATTAAAAAAGAAACATAATAGGTAGATAGAGTTTAAAAATAATAAAAAAAATTGGAACAAGATATTTAAAAAAATTTTTATTTATTTTTTTTTTAAAAATAATAATGAAATTACTAAAAAATGATAAAAATAATTAATCTGATCAACATGCATAAATACTA